CTTCCCCTGCCCACAGTCTTGGGCACAGGCAAGTCTCTATGTTCCAAGATATCATCGACGTCCACATGGCCGTCCATGGTTAGGGGCAGCATTGATCTCCTTGATGGGAACTGATCAGTCTCAGCAAAAGGTGCAAGCTTGGAAGCATGAAATACAGGGTAAGTGCACAGATGACCAGGGATTCTTATGACATAAGATGGCCCATCCAAATTACTACCCACAATATCCAAGACCTCCCAAGGACCAAAGTCCTGCGGCATTAGTTTCCTAGAGATTCCGAGTCCTGTCTCAATTCACTAGCCTTTACCCAGGCACGTTTCCCTACCTGAAATTTGGAGTGTCATCTGTGTTTGTTCTCAAAGCCAATCATTGCCTCCGGAGACTTTCTGATGTGCTTGACAGCCTGTGGCAACAGATTCTCATACTGGACACCAAACTCTATGCTTCCAGGTGTTGCAGCTGGTCGGTTTTCAGGAATGAGTAAGTGGAGTGTAGATCTAGGCTTCCACCCCAAATGCAGCTCATTCGGACTGACGCCGGTGGTGCTGTGGACAGCGTTGTTGTAAAGACTGGCGATGAGAGGCAACTTCTCATCCCAGTCATTTCGGCTGGGCTTGATGTAATGCCTCAGCAAATGCTGCACCACGCGGTTCATCTGTTCCGCTTGGCCATTGGCTTCGGGATGATTCCTCGAAGTCATTTGGAGTTGACTGCCCGCACTAATGGTGGATAATCATATCTTTTTGAAGTGCTCTATATCACTCCATAGATAAGTAACAAGATAGCGGCATTTATAAGCAATATTTTTGGAAAGATAGCTGAAAAATCTTTGTCAAACATCGTTATCTTTTCTGATTTGGTTGGCGGCTGGTCAAATACAAAGGCCCTTTAGGGCCCAAATTTCCCACCAATACTTCACCATTGTATTCAATACAACTGGAAAAGTAGATACAAAAAAAGAAGTAATATACTGATTAGGCACAAATCCAAAATGCTCCCAAACTAATTCAATTAATACCTCTCATCCACGAGGAGAATGAAATTCAATACATAAATCAGTCAGTAAAAGTATCATTCAAACTATAAAAAGCTCCTGAAGCCAAGAATTAAATACAATCAGTCTTTTTTGTGCAATACACGAAATAACGGTTATTGTGAATATTCCAATAAGATTTGTCATCAGTTCAATAATAGTAGAATTAGTTTCTTGGGATAGGCTACCAGAGTGGCCCAGGGTCACTTGCCCGGCCGGGCCAAAAAACAATAAAAAACTAAAAATAAATAAATTATTTTAAAGTAAAAGGGCCTTTACCCGATATAGGCCTCAGGCCTTGTAAAAATAAAGCAGCACGGGCCTTGAAAAGTAAAGCATTGTGAAAAGGTATCTCGCCAGAGCTCAGAAACGTGAAAGCAGGTCAAAGGTCAAAAGCTAAGGCAAAGGGCATTGTCAAAAGACTTACCTGTTCACGAGGAGATGTGTATGTCATGTCTGTCCGAGTAAGGGTGTGTCTGTACGTGTAGGCAGTGTACCTGTTCGTGCAAGGTAAAGTGTCTGTTCAAGCAGTAAATGTGTCTGTTCGTTGAGAGTTGTGCCTGTCCAAAAGTAAAGTCAATAGGCACAGTCCCAGTTCTGGTCTAAGTCCAGGGGTCAGTCCAGATCCAGACTTTCAAATCCAAATTCAGGCCGGGAGGCCTCAGCAGCAGTTGAACTTCATTGGGACTCTACTGGGACACATGCAATGCAGGGTCTGGGACAAGGAAAGAGGCTGAATTGAGCCAATGCAGACCCAGCGAGGAGTATAAAGGAGGCAGCCAGCCTCATTCCTCGCCAGAATCTCCACTGGCTGCAATGCGTGGAAGTGCTGGTGCATTTGTGCGCTGAGTCAGGAGGAGCAGCGCTGGAGAAGAAGATGCGCTGGAGGGAGGAAGAAGCCTGTACGCTGGAAGTGAATGCAGCCATAGCTGCCCAGCGAGTTAGTAAATAGGTTAGAAGGGTTAGTACTTAGCTATGGGTAGTATTCAGAGTAGATCCTTGTGAGAACAGTGTGTGTATGCATCATAGGAGGAGGAGACTGAGGCGAAGAGTGTGCATTTCGAGGTTTGGCTATGGGAGTGACTTACCTAGTTGGTTGTGATCTGCTGAGTTGGCGCTGATGAGTTATGACTATCTTCATGATTGGGAGACAATCTGCAGGAAAAGCGCTGAATGCCCTGGAAGGCATATTGATGAGTTGAGCAGAGATTTGTGTTGCGCTGATGAGCGCTGGACTCAGGGAAACTTTGAAACACTTTGTAATCATATTTCTGATAATATAAGCTGTGAGACTCRRTCCTCTTYTTCTCTACCTTTGTCTATTGTCAGATTACTGTTCATTGTGTGTGGGAGATGATGCATGACAAGTACACATCTGCGTAAGATGGTCCCCAGGACCCATGCAATTGCCTCTTGATCAGCTACATCGTCATAGTAAGGCTTAAATAAAGGGCAGTTCTGGCCACAAGCGGATTCCTGGGCGCAGGGGTGGGCCGATATGCACACGTTAGACAGTGCTGATGATGATGCAAGACAGGATCGTCAGATACATAGACTAGAATTGTGGCCCCTGCGAAAGGATGGCACGCATAGATCAAGAAATTGTCCGGAAAAAAAAAAAAAAGAACACGAGACAACCTGTCTTCTGGTCTTAGATTCATTGCCTGTCTTTTTTTGCCCTTCCTTCTGAGAGAGGGTGTAACTCCAGTATGATTCCGTTGAACAAGAGCCAGTACGCCGATGCCTTTCCCAACAAGCGGGTCTGAACTTAAATCACCAGTACTTCCAGGTCACTTTCTTCCGGGGTTCTAAATGCCCTGCGCGCCAAGCTTTGTTGAACTGCCAGCACAAGTTTTTTTTTTCATTTTGGCTGGCACCACCTCCCATTGGGATCCGGTAGGCCCGAAGGCCGGTTAACATGGCGCGTTAACGCCAAGGGCCTGCGGCGGATGTATGGGCCAAGGACTGGTGGTTTAACATTATTGGTCAACCTTCAAAAGTGCCCACTTCTGACCAGGAGAGAAGATAAAATAAAGAAAAAGGAAGGAAAGAGAGGCCAAACAACAGGGTCCTTCCTTCTGCGTCAATTTCAGATTAGCTGATTGTATTCACCAATGGCCGTCTGCAAAATGTACAGCTTAACTTGGTGCTACAGACTATTCCTCAGCTGCTCCCTTGCGCTTTCCCCTCCCCTTGTCTAGTCAGGCCAGTGAGCAGACAATGTTATTAACACTTCGGATACTTTCCTTTGGTCTTCTTTGTTCTGTATGGACAGGAGATGCTTCGAAGGGCTTCAGGGATCTTTGGCCCAGATAATAGAGATCTATACATGATATTTGATGGTCTAATGAACCGGCCTCATTCATGATCTGCGACTTTGAAGTGGGTTGCTGTCTTTAGCTCACAAGTTGACAGGGATGTGCAGGTCAATGAAGATATCACTCTTGTGATTGTACCAATTATGACTAGTCGCCTCTACGGCTATCTACACATGAGGTGAGGAGTCAAATCAGATCCATGGAATCAGGTGGAAGAGTACTCTTTGTGGAGTTCCTGAGCAGGATCCTCCACTCGCCTGCATGATAAAGAAATCAGAGTGACAGAAAATAGGTTGGGGAGTCCGTTTGTAATGCTGTGTACTTTTCGACCATTTTCCTCTCTTCCTTGGCCAACTATTCGGTGAGGCCAAGGCATTGAGCTGATGGCAACAGGAAACAGGGGAACAATCGATGTCTAAACTCGCGGAGGATGAGCTCGTTCCAGTCCTTCACTGCTGAGCAGAAAGGTCACTGTAATTGTATCCACAATTCCACATGGTTTGTGTTCTCGTAGTTTATGTTGCCGTAAGAAGGCTTGCCAAATAGCAGAAGCCCCCTCCTTTCCATTTCCCCTTCCCTTGTCTTCCCTCCATGTTCATTTGCCCTGGGAGATGGTGCACCATTTCTTGGCTTTCGATGTCGAGCTCGAGACCGTTGTTGTATGCCTTGCTGAATTTCCCAGGATTTCCCTTACCGTTGGTAAGAATCATCTAAGTTTTGATATTTTTTTTTCTGTACTTATAAAACGAATACTAGTTTCCTCAGTTATGGGGGCGGAGGAGTCTAAGGTAACCCTCTGAGCGAGGAGTTTGGGGGCAGGAAAATGGCAGCAAATGTGTGAGTATATCTGTGATAGGGTTACTATGGGTATGGTAACAGTGAAACGTAGACTTCTGGATATGTAGCAGGTGAATCCCTGCCAACTTCTGGGACATTCGACAGTTCTATCCCAATCTCCAGCAATAGCTGGGTTGTCAGCATCAGCCCTGCATGGCTTTCACTCAGTTTTTCACAATCATTGATTTGTGAAAACACTGAAATGGTCTTTGTTGGCGGTGGAATGGAGGGGTGGCTTCACTTAACACAGAAATTTTGGCACAGCCTGTATGGCTTTCACTCAGTTTTTCACAATGATGGATTTGTGAAAACACAAATGCTCTTAGTTGCCAGGGGCATTGGAATGGGACCTCACTTAATAGAGAAAAAATGGCAACATGGAAATGGAAATGAGACATACACAGGGGGGAGAGAGAGAGAGAGAGAGAGACAGAGAGACAGAGAGACAGAGAGAGAGAGAGAGAGAGAGAGAGAGAGAGAGAGAGAGAGAGAGAGAGAGAGAGNGAGAGAGAGAGAGAGAGAGAGAGAGAGAGAGAGAGAGAGAGAGAGAGTGAGAGGGGGAGAGGGAGGGAGAGAGGGAGGCTTCACACTGGAATCCTCGGAATCTTGTTTGCTTATGCTGGACTGGGCTAATAATTCCTTTTTCTGTTCTCAGCAAGGCATTGGGGGTTTATCCTCCCTTTTGATGTTGGCATTTCATATTTGAATGAAAGTAGACAGTGACGTGTGCAGTCTGCGGGCTAGGTGCAACAGATAAAGCAGGCATGTAGTTTGGAATAGGTGTAGCTCTGAGGTACCTAATTGCACCATGAGCTTAGTTATGTGGTCAGGATTGTGTTTGAAAGGATGGACATAGGGCATGCGACTCATGTCTGTGTGCCCTTCGTGAAATAAAATGAGCAATTACTTGCTTTTCTGAAAAGGCAATGTGGTATTTTACCACTTGGACAAGACAAAGGCAATTGTGAGTCGAAGCTTGACTTGGACAACAGGGCATAGCTCGGTGTTTCACATGCTGTTGCACCAATTAGGATAGCCAGGCCACTTGTTTAAGAGAATGAAGGTAGTGTAAGATTTCCAAAAGGAGGGCAATGGGGAAGATGATGATGCAGGGGGAAAACTATGTCGGTATATAGTCCAGACAGTTTGAGAGGTAATGCGACGTAAAAAGGAGGAATCTGAGGACATGAGGGGAGGAGCTGGTGAGTGATTGTGTGTGCGTAGGGGAGAGAGAGAGAGAGAGAGAGAGAGAGAGAGAGAGAGAGAGAGAGAGAGAGAGAGAGAGGTCTTGGTTTGCGAGTTGGTGAAGACATCCCCTTTGCGTATAGCAGGTGAATTACAGAAATGGTAGAGTTTCGGTGTAAGTCATGTTTTTGGATGGACTGTGTACGCTTCAGTATGGCTGTTGTTGCACTTCTCTTCTGAAATTCACATTGTACATTTTTCTGCCTTAGTTCCGAATCTACTCGATTTTTAAATCTCGAAATTTTATCATTCAATCCCTCAGTTGAGTAACCTGCTTTCTTCTTGTACTATCCTGACGATATAGTGTCCCAAGTTTATCAAATTGACAATCCAGAGAGGGAGGGTAACTTTTTCACTATGATGCAGCGCACATGAATGTTCTTCGGGGTAGCTTCAGTAGAGTCACAAAAACGAGTTATAATTGCACTACGGGGCAAGATACAGTCTGCAATTGCACTTCGGGCACCCTACCTGGCCAGAAAGCTGGGTTCTATACATTGCCCGAACTGCAATTCGAAACTGTATGTTGGCCCGTAGTGCAATTATAAGTTATAACTCATTTCTGTGACTCCCGCGTAGTTTCCCCATGTTTTTTGCTCTGTGTGTATGTCACAGTGAATTGCATTCTGCCTGCCCCTCCCCTTGGCGCTACCCACCCTCGCCTGTGAAACCGCTGTTAGTTGTTTGACCATCTACTCAAAGGTTGTGGCTGCCAAAGAATCCTCACCTTGTGGAACAAAGGACATTTTCTGCTCTTTTTACCTAGTTGCTTATTCCCTTCTTCTCCCTGCATTCTCCTGTTGGGATCCTGTAGGTGTCAAATTTTCAGGAGTGTGTACCCTACACGGAGGCCCTTGGGGTGTAATTCAGCTCTCAACAGCCCGCATTAGCCTAAGTTGACGAAGCTGCCTTCCAAGGCTTGCGAGCCTGCCACTGCGCCTTTTCAAGTGGCCTGCCGCGTTCGCTCCCAGCCCAGGGCCGAACCAAAATTCTATCACCGCGTATACTGGTAAGAGCGGTTTAAACTGCCAGAGGGCAGCCAAGCTACTATTGGGAACTCCCCCCCTCCAGTTACACCGCCAGCTAGGGGACCGTTCGTATTTTGCACCAAACGGCACTGCGCCTGTTTTCCTAGCCTGGTTGCGGTCTCCTGGTTACCAATTGGGAATTGCAGTGGTTTAACTCAGGTTCGTGAAAGGCTCAATGTCACTGGGAAAAGGCTGTTAGCGCCCAGCAAAGGGCATTCCTTAACCGGTTGGGTTTTTTAGGGTCATGGAAAAATCTGCATCAGAAAAACGAGGCTTGGGCCCTCTGGTGGTTCAAAGCACTCATCCTCTCAAAACTGTCAGCAATACCCGAGATGTCATGGAAAAGTCTGCACCAGAAAAAGGAGGCTTGGGCCCTCTGGTGGTTCAAGGCACTCGTCCTCTCAAACTGTCAGCAATACCCGAGATGAAGCAAAAGAGTGATGGCTTCCATGAGGGATGCAGCTGGCCAGGTCTCCGGCAACCGATGTGGAAATCTGGGCAGCCAGAAATGATGCATGGAAGACATCTTTTCATGTGCAGACCGAAATTATAATTTTGTGAGTACTTGGCCCAGCTATCAAGTCCGAGCCTCGGCCGACCTGTATGCCGAGCCTTGCCGAGGCTCGAACTACCGGGCACTAGCTTCCCGTACCTGGTTGCCGAAGAACACGGCAACGAGAAGACAACCCCCCCCTCCCCGCAATAAAAGAAACGAGAGAAATACGGAATACTCTATTATAGGGGTAAAAAGGAAAAACAAAGGGAAAAAAACGGTTCCTCTTCTACTCTGGAAACGTGCAAAGAGAGAGTGAATCTTCCGCCAGAACATGGAAAGATGTACCGCCATGATTTTTGTCTTCACGATAGCAGCGGCACGACAGCCGGCAGGCTGCTTGGAGCACCACGCACAGCCTGGTGACTCTCTCTCTCTCTCTCTCTCTCTCTCTCTCTCTCTCTCTCTCTCTCTCTCTCTCTCTCTCTC